GTAATACTATCCCTGTAATACTATCCCTGTAATACTATCCCTGTAATACTATCCCTGTAATACTATCACTGTAATACTGTCCCTGTAATACTGTCCCTGTAATACTGTCCCTGTAATACTGTCCCTGTAATACTGTCCCTGTAATACTGTCCCTGTAATACTGTCCCTGTAATACTGTCCCTGTAATACTGTCCCTGTAATACTGTCCCTGTAATACTGTCCCTGTAATACTGTCCCTGTAATACTGTCCCTGTAATACTATCCCCATAATACTATCCCTGTAATACTCTCCCCATAATACTATCACTGTAATACTGTCCCTGTAATACTGTCCCTGTAATACTGTCCCTGTAATACTGTCCTTGTAATACTATCCCTGTAATACTGTCCCTGTAATACTGTCCTTGTAATACTGTCACTGTAATACTGTCCCTGTAATACTGTCCCTGTAATACTGTCCTTGTAATACTGTCACTGTAATACTGTCCCTGTAATACTGTCCTTGTAATACTGTCCCTGTAATACTGTCCCTGTAATACTGTCCCTGTAATACTGTCCCTGTAATACTGTCCCTGTAATACTGTCCCTGTAATACTGTCCCTGTAATACTGTCCCTGTAATACTGTCCCTGTAATACTGTCCCTGTAATACTGTCCCTGTAATACTGTCCCTGTAATACTGTCCCTGTAATACTGTCCCTGTAATACTGTCCCTGTAATACTGTCCCTGTAATACTGTCCCTGTAATACTATCCCTGTAATACTGTCCCTGTAATACTGTCCCTGTAATACTATCCCTGTAATACTATCCCTGTAATACTGTCCCTGTAATACTGTCCTTGTAATACTATCCCTGTAATACTATCCCTGTAATACTATCCCTGTAATACTATCCCTGTAATACTATCACTGTAATACTGTCCCTGTAATACTGTCCCTGTAATACTGTCCCTGTAATACTGTCCCTGTAATACTGTCCCTGTAATACTGTCCTGTAATACTGTCCCTGTAATACTGTCCCTGTAATACTGTCCCTGTAATACTGTCCCTGTAATACTGTCCCTGTAATACTGTCCCTGTAATACTGTCCCTGTAATACTATCCCCATAATACTATCCCTGTAATACTCTCCCCATAATACTATCACTGTAATACTGTCCCTGTAATACTGTCCCTGTAATACTGTCCCTGTAATACTGTCCCTGTAATACTATCCCTGTAATACTGTCCCTGTAATACTGTCCTTGTAATACTGTCACTGTAATACTGTCCTGTAATACTGTCCCTGTAATACTGTCCTTGTAATACTGTCCCTGTAATACTGTCCCTGTAATACTGTCCTTGTAATACTGTCCCTGTAATACTGTCCCTGTAATACTGTCCCTGTAATACTGTCCTTGTAATACTGTCACTGTAATACTGTCCCTGTAATACTGTCCTTGTAATACTGTCCCTGTAATACTGTCCTTGTAATACTGTCACTGTAATACTGTCCCTGTAATACTGTCCTTGTAATACTGTACTGTAATACTGTCCCTGTAATACTGTCCCTGTAATACTGTCCCTGTAATACTGTCCTGTAATACTGTCACTGTAATACTGTCCCTGTAATACTGTCCTTGTAATACTGTCCCTGTAATACTGTCCCTGTAATACTGTCCCTGTAATACTGTCCCTGTAATACTGTCCCTGTAATACTGTCCCTGTAATACTGTCCCTGTAATACTGTCCCTGTAATACTGTCCCTGTAATACTGTCCCTGTAATACTGTCCCTGTAATACTGTCCTTGTAATACTGTCCTTGTAATACTGTCCCTGTAATACTATCCCTGTAATACTGTCCCTGTAATACTGTCCCTGTAATACTGTCCCTGTAATACTATCCCTGTAATACTGTCCCTGTAATACTGTCCCTGTAATACTGTCCCTGTAATACTGTCCCTGTAATACTGTCCCTGTAATACTGTCCTTGTAATACTGTCCCTGTAATACTGTCCCTGTAATACTGTCCCTGTAATACTGTCCCTGTAATACTGTCCCTGTAATACTGTAATACTGTCCTTGTAATACTGTCCCTGTAATACTGTTCCTGTAATACTGTCCTTGTAATACTGTCCCTGTAATACTGTCCCTGTAATACTGTTCCTGTAATACTGTCCTTGTAATACTGTCCCTGTAATACTGTCCCTGTAATACTGTCCCTGTAATACTGTCCCTGTAATACTGTCCTTGTAATACTATCCCTGTAATACTGTCCCTGTAATACTGTCCCTGTAATACTGTCCCTGTAATACTGTCCCTGTAATACTGTCCCTGTAATACTGTCCCTGTAATACTGTCCCTGTAATACTATCCCTGTAATACTGTCCCTGTAATACTGTCCTTGTAATACTATCCCTGTAATACTATCCCTGTAATACTGTCCCTGTAATACTGTCCCTGTAATACTGTCCCTGTAATACTATCCCTGTAATACTGTCCCTGTAATACTATCCCTGTAATACTATCCCTGTAATACTGTCCCTGTAATACTGTCCCTGTAATACTGTCCCTGTAATACTATCCCTGTAATACTGTCCCTGTAATACTGTCCTTGTAATACTATCCCTGTAATACTGTCCCTGTAATACTGTCCTTGTAATACTATCCCTGTAATACTATCCCTGTAATACTGTCCCTGTAATACTGTCCCTGTAATACTGTCCCTGTAATACTGTCCCTGTAATACTGTCCCTGTAATACTGTCCCTGTAATACTGTCCTTGTAATACTATCCCTGTAATACTATCCCTGTAATACTATCCCTGTAATACTGTCCCTGTAATACTGTCCCTGTAATACTGTCCCTGTAATACTGTCCCTGTAATACTGTCCCTGTAATACTGTCCCTGTAATACTGTCCTTGTAATACTATCCCTGTAATACTATCCCTGTAATACTATCCCTGTAATACTGTCCCTGTAATACTGTCCCTGTAATACTGTCCCTGTAATACTGTCCCTGTAATACTGTCCCTGTAATACTGTCCCTGTAATACTATCCCTGTAATACTATCCCTGTAATACTGTCCCTGTAATACTATCCCTGTAATACTGTCCCTGTAATACTATCCCTGTAATACTGTCCCTGTAATACTATCCCTGTAATACTATCCCTGTAATACTGTCCTTGTAATACTGTCCCTGTAATACTGTCCCTGTAATACTGTCCCTGTAATACTATCCCTGTAATACTGTCCTTGTAATACTATCCCTGTAATACTATCCCTGTAATACTGTCCCTGTAATACTATCCCTGTAATACTGTCCCTGTAATACTATCCCTGTAATACTATCCCTGTAATACTGTCCCTGTAATACTGTCCCTGTAATACTGTCCCTGTAATACTATCCCTGTAATACTGTCCCTGTAATACTGTCCTTGTAATACTATCCCTGTAATACTATCCCTGTAATACTGTCCCTGTAATACTGTCCCTGTAATACTGTCCCTGTAACTGTAATACTGTCCCTGTAATACTATCCCTGTAATACTGTCCCTGTAATAGTGTCCCTGTAATACTGTCCTTGTAACTCTGTCACTAAATTATTGGAATTTTGTTACTTTATCTTTACTTTATTTTCCCAATTTGCCTTTAAACTAATTTGTTCACACAAAAGAGAAAATGTGAGCGGGCCTTGTAGGTCAGTAAGAGGTGTGTCCCTGGCAGGTACGGCTCTGCGGTCTTCCTGACGGCTGACGACGGCGACGGGGACCTGTACAACGCCTCGGTGGTGCTGGAGGGACGCCAGCTGCTGCAGGTGGACGGCCAGGAGGGCGTCCACGTGGGAGGCACGCCCGAGTATGCTGGAGTCACCGTGTTCAACATACACAGAGACTATTACAATGGTTAGTGGGTATGTTGTATGTTGAGTATATATATTTATATATAAATATGAGGGAGTGAGATAGAAATATAATATTACTCCTGACCATTACCACTTTAGGATGTATGGACGACCTGAGGATCTCCGGGCGGAGGATACCACTACCGCCAGCGGTCAACAGAACAGCCTGGGGTCTGGCCAGCGTGTTCCAGGGCGTCGAGCCAGGGTGTGGTGGTCCTCCTGCCTGTGCCAACGTCTCCTGCAGGCCCCCGCTCTCCTGCGTCGACACCTGGAGGTCCTACCATTGCGGGTCTGAACACAACAATTCTCTGGTGTCCATTGCAGTCAGTTTTAAACTTTTCCAATAACATACTTTTTTGTTGTTCTTTGGAACTGATCTTCTATTTAATTGTTGTTCTCGTAAAATGTTAGTCTCATAAATTCTTGTTGTCCTTCATTGTAATTCCCCGGAATACCAGATTGCTGCTCTGGACGCATACTTCTATAATCAGATACCAATTGTTACACAAATTATCGTACTATTCTAAAACTCGGGAAAGTTGGCAGCCTTATACAATTTTTGTCCTCCCACTGTCCACTCTTAACACGGATTAATTATTATTTAGTAAATATATAAGCTCTCTTTGAGGTCTTAAAAGTCGATTTAACGAACGGCCTCTGATGTGTATTACACTTAAAATATGGATGTATAATTACTAACATATTTCCTTATTTAGATATGAAGTTAAAAGCTGGTAGTGACAGGTGTGGTCATCACAGGTGTGGTGAGAGGCTGGTAGTGACAGGTGTGGTCATCACAGGTGTGGTGAGAGGCTGGTAGTGACAGGTGTGGTCATCACAGGTGTGGTGAGAGGCTGGTAGTGACAGGTGTGGTCATCACAGGTGTGGTGAGGGGCGGGTAGTGACAGGTGTGATCATCACAGGTGTGGTGAGGGGCTGGTAGTGAGAGTTGTCGTCATCACACGTTTGGTGAGGGGCGGGTAGTGACAGGTGTGGTCATCACAGGTGAGGTGAGGGGCGGGTAGTGACAGGTGTGATCATCACAGGTGTGGTGAGGGGCTGGTAGTGAGAGTTGTCGTCATCACAGGTGTGGTGAGGGGCTGGTAGTGACAGGTGTGGTCATCACAGGTGTGGTGAGGGGCTGGTAGTGACAGGTGTGGTCATCACAGGTGTGGTGAGGGGCTGGTAGTGACAGGTGTGGTCATCACAGGTGTGGTGAGGGGCTGGTAGTGACAGGTGTGGTCATCACAGGTGAGGTGAGGGGCTGGTAGTGACAGGTTTGGTCATCACAGGTGAGGTGAGGGGCTGGTAGTGACAGGTTTGGTCATCACAGGTGAGGTGAGGGGCTGGTAGTGACAGGTTTGGTCATCACAGGTGAGGTGAGGGGCTGGTAGTGACAGGTTTGGTCCTCACAGGTGTGGTGAGGGCCTGGTAGTGAGAGTTGTGGTCATCACAGGTGTGGTGAGGGGCTGGTAGTGACAGGTGTGGTCATCACAGGTGTGGTGAGGGGGCTAGTAGTGACAGATGTGGTCATCACAGGTGTGATGAGGGGCTGGTAGTGACAGGTGTGGTTATCACAGGTGTGGTGAGGGGCTGGTAGTGACAGGTGTGGTTATCACAGGTGTGGTGAGGGGCTGGTAGTGACAGGTGTGGTGAGGGGCTGGTAGTGACAGGTGTGGTGAGGGGCTGGTAGTGACAGGTGTGGTTATCACAGGTGTGGTGAGGGGCTGGTAGTGAGAGTTGTGGTCATCACAGGTGTGGTGAGGGGCTGGTAGTGACAGGTGTGGTCATCACAGGTATGGTGAGAGGCTGGTAGTGACAGGTGTGGTCATAACAGGTGTGGTGTGGGGCTGGTAGTGACAGGTGTGGTCATAACAGGTGTGGTATGGGGCTGGTAGTGACAGGTGTGGTGAAAGGCTGGTAGTGACAGGTGTGGTGAGGGGCTGGTAGTGACAGGTGTGGTCGTCACAGGTGTGGTGATGGGCTGGTAGTGATAGGTGTGGTGAGGGGCTGGTAGTGACAGGTGTGGTTATCACAGGTGTGGTGAGAGGGCTGGCAGTGACAGGTGTGGTTATCACAGGTGTAGTGAGGGGCTGACAGTTGACAGTGACAGGTGTGGTGAGAGGCTGGTAGTGACAGGTTTGGTTGTCACAGGTGTGGTGAGGGCCGGGCGCTGAGCAGTAGTGAGGAGACGTGTGAGGACGAGGACGAGTGTGTATGGCGTCCTTGTCTTAACGGAGGCACCTGCTTCAACACCCAGCCAGGTGAGCCGTCCTTGTGGGTCCATCCCTTGTGGGGCCCCCTCCCTTGTGGGGCCCCCTCCCTTGCGGGGCCCCCTCCCTTGTGGGGCCCCCTCCCTTGTGGGGCCCCCTCCCTTGTGGGGCCCCCTCCCTTGTGGGGCCCCCTTCCTTGTGGGCGCCTCCTTTGTAGGGCCCTTCCTTGTGGGGCCCCCTCTCTTGTAGGGGGGCCCTCACCCTCCCCACCATCTTGTAGGGATGGGTAGGGAAAGGCCATGGAGGGGCCCTTGTGGGGGCCCCTTCTTTGTGGGCCCCTCTCTTGTAGGGCCCTCCCTTGTAGGGGCCCTTCCTTGTAGGGCCCTCCCTTGTAGGGCTCTCCCTTGTGGGGCCCCTCCCCTGTGGGGCCCCTCCTTTGTGGGGCCCTCCTTCGTGGGCCCCCTCCCTTGAGGGACTTTCCTTGTCGGGATCTTCCCTTATAGGGCCCTACCTTGTGAGAGAGGGGGGGGGGCCTCTCCCTTATAGGGCTTTTCCTTGTGGGTCCCTTCCCTTGTGGGTCCCTTCCCTTGTGGGGCCCTACTATGTGGACTCCTCTCCCTTGTGTGGCCCCTCTTTTTCGGGCCCCTTCCCTGTCGGACCCCTCTCTTGTGGGGCTGTCCCTTGTGACCCCGTTCCGTGCGAGCCCCTCCCCTGTTGGACCCTCCCTTGTGGGTCCCTTTCTCGTGGGCCTCTCCCCCTTGGGCCTCTCTCATGTGGGCCCCTTCCTCATGTGCCCTTCCTTTGTGGGGCCCCCTCCCTTGTTAGGTCCTACCTTGTGGGCCCCTCTCATATGGGCCCCTCCCTTGTGGGGACCCCTCCCTTGTTAGGCCCTACATTGTGGGCCCCTCTCATTTGGGCCCCTCCCTTGTGGGCCCCTACATCTGATCTGGATTGCCTATTCATCCATCTGACGGATTGCATATCCAACTAACTTGGACTAATCCCATCTCGCCTCGAATGCTTATTCATCCACCTGATTTGCATTGCCTGCTCTTCCAACTAACTTGGACTGTCTACTCATCTTATTCATCTTCTATAATTGACTTGAAATTTGCCACTACTTCCGATGTTTCTTATGTTCATGAGTGAAATTCTGTCCAACCTAATAATGAGACGTGAAGATATTTATCTTTCTTTTAAGTTACCCTTGTCTAATGGTATTCCGTTCTCTGTGTAGGCTTCATGTGTGCGTGTCCGGCGGGGTTCAGCGGACAACACTGTCACCTGCCGGACGTGGGGGAGACTTCACTAAAACTGCCGCTCGGGATCCTCGTGACCATTGTCGTCTGGTGCACATTTCTCCTGCGTGAGTATATCTACCTGTTAAGTTCACTCTGTATATGCTGCTCTGGTGATGTGCAGCAATCCACGTCTTTAACAATGTGTGACAATTTTTTCTATTGAGTAGTTTATTTTGTAATTGTTTATGCCTTCAAATTACTGGAAATTGCTATTATTTCTTAAACGTTGCTTTAGTGACTGCTGGACGCCTTTAAGTCCAGCTGGGACGTCATCGGAACCTTCAAACGGGTCACGTTTCTGATTGATCTCCAAAGAGATTTTACCAAGTTTATCTGCTCTCTGCATTTGAGAGAGCAGGGACACCATAGCGCACTACCACAGTCGAGACTGTCCATAGGAGATAAAGTTCTCTGTGGGGAAGAACAACCTAATGTCTCTGTGGGGAAGAGCCAGTTGGGAGCCAGGGAAGATCCCAGCAAATTCTAATCCCATCACTGCACATAAAATTTGGGCTTATGAAACAAGTTGTCACAGAGTTACATAAGGAGTCAGAAGCCTTCGAGTTCCTGCAAGATTTCTTTCTAAAAAGTCTTAGGCATAGGTCAAAGACGGTGTCTTCATCAGACCAACAGTTAAAAAAAGATCGTTGAGTGCAAGAAATTCCCTAAAGAAGGCCACTAAGAAAGAAATGTGTCTTGAGTAAATTTTTTCATCAAATACCAGGGCATGTTCTTGTGGCGCTGGGCCTACAAGTGTGAGAGAGCTTGAATGGTCATAAAGTCAATAAATGACAAAGAACTCTATGACCAGACCAGGATTCGCATCTGCGTTTCCCGGGCTCATCCCACTCAATCATTCCAGCGGAATATGGGTGATAAAAACACACAACTGAAAGTTTTGTTTTATATTATTTTAAAAAGTAATATAAAACACAGAAATATTTTAAACAATATTATTTTTAATTCGTATCCCTTTATAATAAGCTATATGATAAAACTTCTCATAATGTAATATTCATCATTATACAGCTGATATTTTACTGATATGTAGATAGTAGTCTACATCATTAGCCTACTGTCAGTGTAGGTCACATCATTAGCCTACTGTCAGTGTAGGTCACATCATTAAACTACTCTCAGTGTAGGTCACATCATTAGACTACTCTCAGTGTAGGTCACATCATTAGACTACTGTCAGTGTTGGTCACATCATTAGACTACTGTCAGTGTAGGTCACATCATTAGACTACTGTCAGTGTAGGTCACATCATTAGACTACTGTCAGTGTAGGTCACATCATTAGACTACTGTCAGTGTTGGTCACATCATTAGACTACTGTCAGTGTAGGTCACATCATTAGACTACTCTCAGTGTAGGTCACATCATTAGACTACTGTCAGTGTTGGTCACATCATTAGACTACTGTCAGTGTTGGTCACATCATTAGACTACTCTCAGTGTAGGTCACATCATTAGACTACTGTCAGTGTTGGTCACATCATTAGACTACTCTCAGTGTAGGTCACATCATTAGACTACTGTCAGTGTTGGTCACATCATTAGACTACTGTCAGTGTTGGTCATATCATTAGACTACTGTCAGTGTTGGTCACATCATTAGACTACTGTCAGTGTAGGTCACATCATTAGACTACTGTCAGTGTTGGTCACATCATTAGACTACTGTCAGTGTTGGTCACATCATTAGACTACTGTCAGTGTTGGTCACATCATTAGACTACTGTCAGTGTTGGTCACATCATTAGACTACTGTCAGTGTAGGTCACATCATTAGACTACTGTCAGTGTTGGTCACATCATTAGCTGTGTTGTATAAACAAGTTACCCATAGAAAACGTAACTTGTAGTGGAATTACCATCTAAAGAAAACGGGATATCATCACCACATACTATTATAATTCACCAGCTATTCTGCTGGGAATTATTCTTAAATACATTAGTCTTTGGACTTTACCATCATAAAAACATCTTATATAAATTAACTTAATTATCAATATTAAAGTAGAGTAAATGTGACCCTTCTATCACTTTCTGACATGTGGACAATGTAAGCCAGGCGTGAGAGTGAGGAAGGAGGGCAGCCATTGTTGTGTCACCTCCGAGACGTGTGGAGCAAATTTAGCTCCTATCATATCTGGACAATGTCGGCCAGTAACGTCAATAGTATGGAGTGTTAAACAGCCATTGTTTATATTGAGACCAGAGGCTCACACGGAAGCAAATTCGGCTCCTGTTAATTTACTTGGACGTAGTGTTATGGAAACCAAAGGTACCATCTCCAACACGATGTCTACAATTCAAGTTAAGTGTTCTTTCCGAAACCATGTATCTTTCATTTATGGCCATTAATGTCATTATATAGGGTGACCCGGTTAGAGCACGTGGAAGCCTCAAACTAAAGGTAATTAAGCCAGGTCTTCATGTTCCATGTACAGTTTTCTCTGAAATACTTGTCATATATAGGTTTCTGGCTTCACAGCTAGCGCACTTTTGACAGGTCAAGACGAGGAAGATTTTGTGCACCAGTTACTGGGTGATATGGAAGCTACCTCAAAGAGGATAATTTGGTGTCTACACCCTAGTTATACCTGGTGGACTAACCTGCTGTACTATAAGATAAGGAACCTTTTCAATGTATGTAGTCTATTCCTGTAGTTTGATTGGCTGCATATATATAAACTAATAAACCCCCCTAATGTGTAGAGGATCGATTTGTGAGATTAAGAGATTATTGCAGAAATACAGTCCACTTATCATTATACAAATTGCTATCGAAGTATATAAATTAACGTAAATATAAATCTCACAGGTCGGTTCCCACATTATTTGGTCATCTTCGAACCGGATGACAGATTATTTGATCCTTTGAACCCACATTTGGTCATCTTAGTACCGGATGAACCAGTTAACCAGTGGATTCATTAAATATACTAGTGCAGTGTGATTTAAACAAAGCCAGCAGTCAAGACGGCAGCGTAGCCTCGAGGGAGCTCAGGAGCCCCCTCAGCCGAGTTCAGCTTCGTCAGCGGTTTCATGCACACCCACAGATATTTGGTGGCGTGTTATTTCGTGAAATGACAGCGCTAATATAGAAGCCAGCCAAATTAGTGGCTGTGTCCTCGCAAGATTGTTCACGGATTTCGTGGTGTTACATTTCGCGAGAGATTATCCACGAATTTTGTGGACTTTATTTCGCGAGGTCACTAATAATATTTAATACTTCTAGATAATATTAGAAGTTTCATAGAGGCTAATTAAGAGGCTATTATCAATAATTGTGTATATTATTTCTCCAAATAGAGAATCATTTAATATATACTGCACTAGTGTTCTCAATATAATATTTACTAATTGCCAACCCACAACAGGGTAGGATATGACTAGTTGAACTATTATTGTTCATCCTAGTCCCATTATTACCATAGTCAGTTGTACTATATTAAACAACTTAACACCATTAATGAATGGTGCAGACCCTATTTTGGGTGTAATTTTTATCAACTCGAATTGAGTTGTGTATATATAATAATTTACTTATGATCATTACACCTTTGAGTGATTAATTAGTGTCTCTTCCATCCTAGGGTGATATTGAAGAGCTAACCTAAAGGTACTTCCAGTGACACTGGTTTATCACTCAAATCATTAGTGTGTATGATTGTATATATATATAATGTGTATTAATTTTAAGTGCTAACCTCTAGTAGAGGTAGGATTATTGCCTAGTGAGTGCAGAATTTACCCTAGGCTACCATTAGAGCTTGTTCAGTATTATGAGCAGCCCAAGTACAAGTCCCACAAGGCTTCACCAACGAGCCAGTATGGATAATGCAGGGAGAATGAAAAGAACCCTTGCAGGTCTTAAAGGCCACTTAACAAGACAGATCAAGAAATGTGAAGATTTGTCACAACAATCAACAGTTGATTATGCTGACCTGGAAAGCTATTATCAAGCAGCTGCAGGTAAATTTGAGCAAATCAAATGTCAAATAGCAACATATGTGGCTGAACTTGCCAATACCAATTTATCAGAAACAGAAATAGACGACATTATGGTTGATCTTGCGAATTATGAAGATCACACTCAGGCCACGTTACAGCCTTATGTCAAATTAATTGCCCAGAACAAGGCAACAGCAACAACAACAACAGTTGCATCTAATACGAGTCAAGCAGAAGCTCGACTCCCTCCAATTAATTTACCCACTTTCTCAGGAAAAGATGAGGAAGATTGGGATGAATTTTGGAACAAATTCGTTGACCTTGTAGACTCAAAACAATTTTTACCAAAGAGTAGTAAATTCTCTTATTTGCAAGGCCAATTATCAGGTGAGGCTAAAACAGTAGTATCCCATCTGAGATTAACTAATGACGGCTATGATCTGGCAGTAAAACTCCTCAAGGATAATTATGCTGATCCAGAAGTAAGAACATCACATTTAGTTCATGAGCTGTTGCATTTACCCCCACCGGAGGCTTCAGCTGATTCACTCCAAGTCTTCAAGCTGGAGGTAGAATCATTGATCAATGCCCTCAGCCTGACAGCAGATACAAACGGGGCTGAGTGGGTCTTGAAAATAATTGTCCAGGAGAAAATACCTAGGGACATATTGAGACAAATGAGTGCTCATTACAATAAAAGCATCTTATCCATGAATGAAATATCTGAAGGTTTAAAGTCAGTAGTTCATCAATTACGAACACATGACAAATTAAAACCACCAAGTAAACCCTCAGAAACCAATAATAGTAAACCACAGAGTACCAAAGGTACTCCAAATCAATCTAGACAATATAATTCAACACCAAAGTGGAACAGTAGCAGTGTGGGGCGTATATGCAGTGGGACCCTCCAAGCCTATAGTTACTGTGTCACCCAAGAACGTGACACCAAAGGGTACTGGAAGCTATGGAACATGTTTGTTCTGCAATGAGAAACATTCAATGTACCACTGCCCTAATTTTCCTGATAGTGACGCCCGTGTTGAGCGACTCAAAGATTTGCAACATTGCACGAGGTGCCTCAGGAAACATAACATCAAC